CAGGCTTGCATATATTAAGCTTTGTACAGTATGTGTTATTCTTTATTTTAAAAGCAAAATCTCATACTGTATATCCTGTCCTTAGTGAGTTTTTCAGAAATGTCTGGCTTTCTCTGTGCAGTAGATATATTTCATGACTGAGCATTTTTCAGAAAGGAACTAAAACGTATATTTTATAAAAGCAGTAATAGTGGATAGGAGCCTGGGAAAATCGACTCAATTTGTCTTGTTTCAGCACACGGGAGTTTTTTCTGCCCAGAGACTTCAGTTTCTAGCTGCCATTCATTGTTGAACCCACTGTTTCCTTCACAGCTTTGGTGCTGAATACCTTCCTTGGCACAATTCCCTCACTGTTTTGTGCTCGGCTGCCTCTTGGCTCAAAGGCTTTAATACTAATCTGAAGCAGTTTTTATCACTTAGAACACCAATCAAAAAGGGATTACCAGTGTAATCTAGAGTACGGTGCTCTGGCCTCCTGCTCTCACTTCATATCGTACAGAGTCTTCAGCAGTCCCTGTGATTTGCCCAGGGCAGCGTCACAGACGTGAGGGTTCAATATTGAACCGAAGATGATGCAGCGTGCCTGCTGCCAGTGAGGCCAGCTCAAGAAGGAGCCTCCTTCTCCGTTAGTATCCCTGGTCTCTGCCTGGTCTCCGCGTCGGCACACAGAGTCAAAGCAGAGATCGTGAGTCATGAAGTCGACCTGCCAGAGTTGTTGCACTGCTCCTTATTCAGATTTCAAATTCATTTTAAGGATAAAACAGAAGTGATGTGTGTAGCCAGACTCCAAGGTCATAAGAAACCTTTCCAAAACGTACACATCAGTGAGTTTTATAACACATTGGAGTTTTTGTACAGTAGGTCTCTGGTGACTTTAACTGCAGGAAGAGGTCGGTATCGTGCTTGATCAAGAATTATTGAAGAATTATTTTCTGCCCAGCTAAGCAAAAATCGCCGTAGCTCCCTAACAAAAAAAAGCTGTAAAAGTACAGAAATCTTGCAGTGATGTGAATATGCAGACTCCAGGGGATGCTGTCAAAACATTGTTCCCAATGTTGTCACAGCCAAAATCTAACACAAACGCAATGTTCACTTGTCAGCCTGGGATTTTGTAACATTCTGACATCTTAATAATACAGTACGTATAAACCTTGTAAAAACATACACAGGATAAATGTATTGTGGCTGCAGCATTTTGTCTGAATGTCTGACATGACCAAACTGCGCCCTTCCAGTAACATTGTGAAATTGTTCCTAAATCATTTTATCTAACATAGTCAAGCCATGGCCTTGCAGGAGCATTTGAGAATGATTTTCTGCAACATCTGTGGGGATATCCATCACCAGGAGCAGACAGGTAATAATATAGTAAGTGAGTGATTTTGCGTGAGGGGGTAAATGCACATGTGTTTGTCACTGTTCTCTTTGAAGCACTCTTATCAGTGTTTTGGATGCAAACATTGTTTCTGAGAGTCCGTAAATATGAAAGCAGTATTCCTGTTTGATGAATTGGGGTGTTACCCTGGTGTCCTGGCTGTACTCCACTCTGCGCTGGTGCAGTCTGGCCTCTCTGAAGTTCCCTCTTAATTCAGCTGCTCTCTCTCCCCTGTGAAGTGGGGCTGCTGGTGCAGAAGTTCCAGACTGGAGACTATAGGTCTCTACGTGTAAAGTGCTTCAGGATCCTTTAGGAAAGAAGTCACTATGTAAATGCCTGGAATTATAATTAATGTCCTTTTAGGAGATAGCTGTAAATTGTATACAGGTACTATATGTTGCTAGCAGCCATATCACACTTCAGCTTTCAGCTGGCAGCCCAACCTCCTGGGAAAAACTAAGGTTGCTGCTGGAAGAGGTGTTGGTGGGGCCAGCAGGGGGAGCTCACCCTACAGTCTGTGTGGGTCCTAATGCCCCAGTATAGTTATAGAGACACTATACTGTAAATAGGCGCCGTTGTTTGGATGAGAAATAAAACCGAAGTCCTGACTGTCTGTGGTCATTAAAAATCTTCAAAAACCATCAAAAACCTTGGAATCCTAGTCTGATTTCCCCCTGGCCTTCACCAATCATGGCCTCCTAATAATCCCTGTCTCTGAACTGGCTTCATCATTGTGTTCTCCTCCCTGCTGAGAGCTGGTGTGTGGTGAGTGTTCTGGTGCACTATGGCTGCTGTTGCATCATCCAGGTGGGGCTGCACACTGGTGGTGGTGGAGGGGGATCCTCATTACCTGTAAAGAGCTTTGAGTGGATTGTCCACTTACTATATAAGTGTAAGGAATTACTATTATCTTCATCATCATCAACTGTAAGGGTTTTGGGAGGCAGGTGTATAGCATCTGTGATATGAACTGTGTACTGTGTGCTAAAGCTCAAGACTTTTTTGTCAAATTCTTAGAGCAATCGTACAAAAGCTGAGCTCCTCAGTGAAGCAGTGCAGGTATTACCTTCGACAGCACTGCTCCAGTCCACAGGGTGCCATTGTCAGCGACATGGTCTGTTCAACTGTTATAGCTGGGAAATGTGATTCTGCATGTACTGTGGACAACTGTATTTACAGCACGCAAAAACACCAGGTTATTTATTAGAGCATAATGGAGATGTAGTGTAATATGCAAACCTGTTAAAATATTGCAGATCCAGGAAAAAGACAAGAAAGCTTTTTTTCCCTTCCTCTTTGTACAATGTGTTTTTGACTTGATACTCTTCTTTGCTCGTAAGGCCATTACCTTTTTCTGTGTACTTTATCCAAAGTGTACTTTAATAAACAGCTTTACAAATTTCTACTGTTTTAATACTACCAGAACAATGGTCTTGCAAAGTAAACACACTGATCAAACAGATGAAGCTTAAATTGCATTCACAATGAACATACAAATGAAAGCCATTGCCTCTTTTCTCATTTTTAACAAAGTGGCCACACCTTCCTTTTAACTACAGTAACTGTTCCTGGGTAACCCAAAACCCCGTGTGTCTGTACTGTCCTGAGCTCTTGCGTCCGCAGAGCTGTGCGGCACTGATGCCCTGTGTGTCTGTACTGTCCTGAGCTCTTGTGTCCACAGAGCTGTGCGGCACTGATGCCCCATGTGTTTGTCCTGTCCTGCTTGCAGACATCGACGAGTGCCAGGCGCACAACGGGGGCTGTGACCACTTCTGCAGGAACACGGTGGGCAGCTTCGAATGCAGCTGCCAGAAAGGCTACAAGCTCCTGACAGATGAGCGCAGCTGCCAAGGTGAGCCAGCAGGGGGGGCTGCTGATCTGTGCATTTGGAGATGAAAAATTACTCCATTCACTTCAAGCTATATTGTCCCACTGCGGAAATTTGTTTGGCCCCACACTGGCAACATAACAACACAGTGGCAGACAGTATTTCACCAACCAAGAAGTCAGTGCAACAGCATTACAGTTAGACGAGAAGAGAGGAGAAGATCGTTACGATGCATTGTTTGAAAGAGATCACTTATGAGCATCAGATTTAAAAAAGGAGTTAAAAAGTAGAAGAAAAGAGGAAAAAAAACAAAAGACTGTCTTCCAGCAGTGAACTCTCCATCTATCCTGGGTTATACACCCAGTGGGTCCTCTCTGTCTTTCTGAGGGGTTTCTGTGTGTAGGTGCTGCTCTAGATCATGTAATGTGTATGAACGCCTTCAGTTTTCCAGAAAACTGGACCCAAAAACCCAAAAGTCCTGGATAATTTCCATTAACAATTGTTTTACTGATTAATAGCTCATCGTACATGAAAATCCGATAGAACGATCACAGCATTACAAGGTTGTTTGTAACAATCATACATGCTGTTTGCAGAGGCCTTGTGTATAGCAGTTATGTGGAACAGTCCCTTCCGATGGAGGTATTCAAGATCTAAGGGTCTGTAAAGTCAAAACATTTCATGTTTTATATTCTGTTCTGTCCGCAAAGTGTTGTTTAAAAGCTCAAGAAAAGGTGTCTTGAAAGCTATAATCAGAATGAATGAATCATTTCACATTTTTAAGAAAATAAATTAACATGTATGTTTAGTATGGAGTTTAGCTTTAATCCCTCTTTTATGTTGTGGGAAGACACCAGGCACTTTTCAAAAGAAGCATTGATTCCACTGGGTTTTCTGTTCTTTTTTGTTTTGAGTTAATTCCAGACTTGTACTGTGGAATTGTGTTCAGAAAATCTTTTCAGAGAGCACTAACTGAATCAGTCCATCACTCTGACACTCCAGTGCCTGTCAAGTTTCAGAGCACTATGTGACTTTTCCACAATTTATATCTGTTGCAGACAACAGACATCTTAGAGTGTGTCTTTGTCTACAGAACATGTCTTGAGGGGCATTTCTTAAAGGTCATAAAGCTCATATAAAATAAAAAGAAAGGCGTGCAGCTGGATTTCTCTGAGATGTGATGGAATACAGCATTCTCTAAAACAACTGAGGACCGTTGTGGAGCGAGAAACCGTTGTGGGGTGAGAAACTGTTGTGGGGCGGATGACCACAGTTGACGTCGTTTTCCCTCTTGATTTCTCGTTGCCTCTTTCTCTTGAATTTCCCTTGCAAGCAGTATGAATGTAAAAATTACCATTGACATCAGAGGCATGAAGGACACACCGTATAACATCAAGAAACCGATCGGTTTGAAACAGATCACATTGTTTGTCAGCTGAGCAGCTCTCCTCCATACTGCCTTCGGAAAACAAGAAGACACGGATCTCTTCAAACTTTCCACATTCCCTTCTTTCAAAACAACATCAGGGTAAAATCCTCAGATCAATCTGCTTCTTGTAACGGGGTGCCGGTCCCGACTCCCGTGTAGTGTGTAGTTTAGGACCCTGTGCAGACGGTATTCTCCGGAAGAGACTGGAGAAGGGCTACAGGGAAAACACGGTGAGGGAAGGAATGGATGGCGAACAGGGGGGGGTGCCGACAGTGATCCAGGTGCAAGGGGGGAGCGCAGGTGAACAACTCCAGGACTGTCCAAGGGGGGGAATCTGGGCGCTGTCCAAAATCCAAAAACCGGGTGATCCGAGACAGGGTTAAAATCCAGAGCGGGATCCAGAACAGGAGGTTAAAAGCACCATGACGAGGCCAGGCGCTCCGAGCCCCGGACTCAGCTGGGTCAGGGCAATTTAATGCTAGGTGGGCCTTCCAGTGCAGAGCCCTGAGCTTCCAGAGCACCGGGTTTAAATAATACCGGTGAATCCAGGGACAGGTGAACGTGATAATGAAACAAACACAAAAGGGGCAGAGCGCCCTCTAGAGGAGGGATGACGATAGTGACATTTCTACTACCAAAAAGGGGTGTGGGGCCCTCCAGAATCAACTGAGAAGGCCAAATTTATTAATGATGGATTCTATTTAAACAAATCTTTAGAGAATAAATGTGACGCTCGTGTTTCTGGATTTTTTTTCTGACAAGTATGACTTTGCCCTGTGCAGCGCTGTTGAGCTTGCAGTGTGACATCATTAGAATCTTTTTAAAGCAAGACACCTTATTCAAGTGGTTCATCTTTCAGTCATTTGAAGTTTCTTGTTCCTCTTTTAGCAGGGATATGAAAAAATCTGAAGGGCTCTGAACGGATTTGACCTATTTATATACCACAGTTCTACAGAAGGAAGGTTTTCATGGTGCTAAAACGCGACGCTTTAAAATATTACATGAGAAATAAATGTCTTGGGAAATAACAGTATTTGGTAAGATTTCCCTTCTCGGCATCTTTGCATGCGGCCCCCAGAAACCTGAACTGCACTGGGACACCGCTGGCTTAGTGAGGGGTTGATACAGTAGATATGAATAGGTTCTGTGAAGTCTGGGATTTATCTTTCCTGTTTTCCCTTTCTCCTGCCATATTTTCCTTCTGTCTGCAGGGGATTTGTGATACTATTTCTTATGTGTTCATTCTGAGAGCTCCAACCAGCTTGCACAGAAGAAACAAGCTACTGTACGCAAGTATGTGTCATTCCCCGCTGCCAAGAATGTGAATTAGCAAGTAATAACTTTGAGTTATCAAAAGGGTCTGGCAGCACAGAGCAGACATTGTTTTTAATAAAGGTTAGGTTTTCCCTGTTTTAATTTCTGTTGTAGACAATAAGCAAAGTTATCTCACTCTTTCCGTGGTTTAAAGGATTTTATGCCCGTGCATGCTGGGAGTAGTAGCCATGCTCCTCCAGCTTGAGAGGAAAGCCTCTCCCTCCCCGCTGTCCATCGGGCGTGTCGCTGTAACAACGTCTCAGCTCGGGGACGTCATGAGCCACTTCCATCACAGAAAGAGAAAAGAAGGAAACGGAAAACTGCTCCAGCATGCCTGATAAAGAGGGATGATAACAAGATCATACGTGTTATTATCATGGCGAAAATATGGCCTCTCTCTTGGTACTGTACGTCACATCAGTGGACGATGGTGGGATTATCACAGAGCCTCACTGAGACCTATCATGTGCACGAAGCAATAACACAGGAGATTTAACTGAAATCACAAACCCTTTCTTGGCCAAGGACAGTTTCCAGTTGAGTCATATGGTGCCGCAGGTCTAGTTTTGCTGAAGACAGCTGTGAGTTCAGGCTGTTTTGACTCTCCTGCTAACTTCCTTCCCCTCGTTCTCCTCAGATTCTACCCACTAGTGGTCTTGTCAATCATTTATTTCTTCCAATACATTCCCTGGTGATTCCCAATTGCTGTAGCGTGTTGTTAACTGCTGCCACCTCTTCAGGTTCAGACTGCTTGCTCTTTCCATGGTCTCCTTCCACAAGTGTTCAACTGGTCTAAGGTCTAAGGAGGGCATGAGTTTCAGGATCAGCGAGAGTTACACGTGCTCTTCCATTGCCATACTTTAAAATGGGATCGATCGTCTTGGCCAGCTCAGAGTTCAATGCACGAGGTTCACTTTTGCTTCACACACTTTATACTAATACAATGTCCTTCCTCCAACTCTTCAAGAGCTACATTCTTGAACTCTCTTCATATCTAAGCTTAAATCTCACCTTTTTACTAGGGCCTATGTCTGGGTTCCCCTACAGTTGATCCTGTACGTTCTTGTTTAATGTTTTCTTTTACTGTACTTTTATTGCATATTTTTGTCCTTCTTTATCACTGTGTGCAGTGTCCTTGGGTTTGGGTTTGATGATGATGATGATGATGATGATGATTAGTATTAGCACTATTACAATGAAATGAAAATCTTCAGCTTGGCTCAGTATCTGAAAGTATGGATAACATCCATGAGCCTCATGCCAGAATGGGGAGCTGAGGAATTTCAAGACCAAGGAAGGCTTGCTGCTTGCTGAGCAGTGCGGGACTGGAACAACACTGAACATAAACGCCGTCGTGCAGCAGCAGCACAGCTTTGATCTGCCCTCCTCTCTTGCTTGACGACACTTGTCTTCTCCTGGTCAAATTTAGTGGAGTCATTCGGGGCATCTGTCCCTTTTAGTCGCTGCAGTAGTAGCCAGTTTATCCCAGGATCTCATCCAGCTGCCTCTTGAAAGAAGCCAGAGTATCAGCTTCAACAATGTGGTGGAGCAGCTTGTTTCAAACTCCCACAACCCTCTGTGTAAAAACGTGCTTCCTGATCTTGGTTTCATACACTGTACACTTCCACATAACTGGTTGATTCCTGGCTTGGCCATGAGCCAGTTACTGTGCAGACAGCCCAGTCATTTCACTGTCATTTCACTGTCATCCAGGAAAGGAGAGTCATCTTACCTGCACAGCGGGTCATTATTTGTGGAGGAAATCAGCCCATTTAATACCTCACGGTCGACTCCCTCTGTAAATTATAAATTATTGTAAATTTGTTTATCTTGCAGCATCCCAGTCAGGGCTAATGCTGCTCTTAAGCATGAGCCAAAGCAGGAATTAAGAAAATGAAGTTAGTGGAGGTGATGACAGAGAAAAGAGAAAAGAGAGCCGGGAATCAGAAGCATCTCCTGAAGAGCTGTTACTGGTCGAGCTCTTGTCTTCAGACACAGCATGACAGCCCTCCTCACTCACACCAAACACAAGCATCACGATTGGAGAGTAGAACAGGAGTTTTCCAATTGCTCCATAAAATAAAGTGTTTTCTATCGCTAAAGGATGATCTAATGGAAACATTAGTAGGGAGTCTCAAAATATTTTTTCAGTATTATTTCATGCCTTCAGTTTTAAATTGATTCAATTGCTCATGTACCAATGTATCACCTTACATTGCTGCTGTAAAATGTAGTATAGTGCCCTAAGTGAACCATCAAACAGGCGTCAAAGTGTGGATAGCGGATACTTTTTCAGTGAGCTCCCTGAAAAAAAAAGCTGCAGGCCTGTTATTTTTCTTGTGGATGGTGTGAGATCTCTGGTTTGCTTCACACGCAGGTGGGGGTCATCAGACTGCAACCTGAGGAGCAGCCTGTTGTTAACTCCTTGCTGGGAACTGGCCAGTGGTCACTTTGTGTTTTATTGGGCTGTGGTTGGTGATTTACTGCACTAATGAGATCCAGAAGGGGAACCATGCTGCATGTTCCCACTGGTTTATTAAAATCATTCATTAATTTCCTGTGACAGCTCCTATATTTTAGAACTTGCTTCCAATTTCCTCCAATTAGTGTCTCTTTAACGGGAACGAATTATACTTCCTGCACACGTCAAATTACAAGCAGTGATTCCAATTTCCCAGGATCTCACTCTCAGACACTCTGTCCTTATAGCCACTGGTCACATGCAGCTTCACAATAAATCTCAGCACATTTATAGTGAATGGACATCCACCTTTCTCCTAAAAATGAGCCTAATTTAAGAAAACACTGCAAAAAGATTTATCTTTTCACTTGCATTGTTTTAGAATTTCTCAGTCTACCAGCCCATTTGAAATCGCTACACTAATTAGCAGTACTCATAGGCTGACACATTCCCCAGCCACAGTCTGACAATGATCTGAAGATACTGTATAAACTGCTGCCAGGTTTTTCACATACTGAGTGTCGACTTTAAAAGTGTCACTGGAAAAGTGTCACTACCAAAGAGGTGACTGGCAATTTCGAAGAGCAGCAGACTATAGAATAATCCTGGGGAAAACTGTGGAGATTCGAGCGATGGTTAATGCAAATGTTAATTAAAATGTACAGGTTCCCTAAGCCATGTTTACTGGCTCAGCATTAACAATGCCAAAATATCACATGTGTTCTGTTGAGGTACAGGCTCTTATAAGGGCATGCAAATTAAGGTGAAGAATGTCACCTGGGAGGGTCACCTTGTATTGTGTTTTCAATGATGAACGTATTTTGTTTTACCCAGCATATCCTGCTCTGGGCCTAATCCTGACATTCCCATGAATTCTTTTATATCTTATTTTACTATTTAAAAATGTAGCAACTTCAGCATCAGTAAATTCTATTCAGTGAAAGGAAAACCACTATGTGTTTCATAAGACATAAGATAACTAGTAATCAGATATGTTCTGCACCTATACAGTATATACATGTAGCTTCCTGTATATATTCATGAAATTTGAAATCTACAGTTCTATAGTATTTTTAGTTTTTTTTTAAAGAACTTTACAGTTCTTAATATTCTAATGCTATTCCAATATCTCACTTCCTCTTCCCTGGGTATACAAGCTTCCTGTCTGAGCACAGCTCTCTGTCTTAATGGTCTTACAGTGACAACGAAGTCACTTTAGAGAGGCCAGAATTTTGAAGCATCCTAGTCTGTCTGTGGTTAGGATGAAGAATTCATCATGTTTGTCTAGAGATAGACCTGTGCCAGTCCTTAGCAAAGATTTAGCTGTGCTCTAAAAGTACTGTATGTAACAGTTAGAAACTCTCATTCTCATTCTCATTCACTCACATCAGACTCAAGAGTCTCATTCCAGTGCAGTGAACAACAACTGTGCTATAATTTACCAACACAACATAATATGCTGTACATCAGAGTTACATTTGAAATGAAATACACAAAATTGAAGTGTGTCACAATAACTTAATTAATAGTGGTAATATTTATTAAAGGCACTACTTAGTTCTTGAAAGTCAAGCTTGCTTGTTTTCACATTGTCTTAACATCTTCCAGGCCAGTTTTATAGTTGCAGGAAAACGTTTGTGAACCCTTTGGAATTACCTAGATTTCTGCATTAATCACTCATAAAAATGTGGCTTGATCTTCAACTAAGTCACAATAATAGACAATCTGCTTAAACTAATAACATACAAACAATTGTACTTTTCTTGTCACTATTGAACACATTGTTGAAACACTCACAGTCCAGGCTGTGAACCCTTGTATTTAGTAACAGGTCGAACCTCCTTTAGCTGCAACAACCTCCACTAAACGTTTCCTGCAGCTGCTGCTGATGAGACCTGCACAACAGTAAGGTGGAATTGTAGACCATTCCTCCTTACAAAACTGTTTCAGTTCATTGATATTTCTGGGATTTCTTGCATGAACAGCTCTCTTCAGGTCATGCCACAGCATCTCAGTTGGGTTGAGGTCTGGACTCTGACATGGCCATTCCAGAACACACATTTCCTTCTGTTTAAGCCATCCTGTGTTTCGGGTCATTGTCTTGTTGCATCAGCCAACTTCTATTAAGCTTCAGGTGACAGACCGCTACCCTCACATTCTCCTGTAAAATTTCTTGATATAATTTTGAATTCATTGTTCCCTCTATGGTAGTAAGCTGTCCAGGCCCTGAGGCAGCAAAGCAGCCCCAAACCACGATGCTCTCTCCACCATGCTTCACGGTTGGGATGAGGTTATGGTTTTGGTGTGCAGTGCGTTTTTTCCTCCAAACAGCGTTGCGCGTTTCTGCCAATGAGTTCAACTTTTGTCTCATCCGTCCACAGAACATTGTCCCAGAAGTGTTGTGGAACATCCAGGTGGTCTTGACTTGAGACATGCAGCAATGTCAGCAGTGTCCTTCCATTAACACTAATCTTGTTCAGTGTTTTTCTTATAGTGGACACATGAACAGAGACTTTGGCAAGTTCAAGAGATTTCTGCAGGTCCTTTGCCAGTACCCTAGAGTTCTTTTTCACCTCCTTCAGCATTGCACGCTGCACTCTGGCTGTGATCTTTGCAGGACGCCCACTCTTAGGGAGAATAGCAACAGTACTGAATTTCCTCCATTTGTAGACAATTTGTCTTACTGTGGATTGATGAACACCCTGTCCTTTAGAAATGCTCTTGTAGCTTTTTCCAGCTTTATGCATCTCTACAATTTTTCTAAGGTCCTCTGATTTTTCTTTTGACCAGGGCATGAGAAGAGCAGACTCTGTCAGTAACCAACCTTTGTGTGCCATTTTTATAGGGCAGGGCACCTCCAACCCACACCTCCATTCTCATCGCATTGATTGGAACACCTGACTCCAATTAGCTTTTGAAAAGAGAGTGAGATAAGAGATCACTTTATTGGCCATATACAGTTTCTTGCATTAGGAATTTGTCTTTTCGCATACCCCAGCTTGCTCTCCTTGAGACACACAGACAGGGAGAGAAGCTTGGGGTCAGAGCACAGGGTCAGCCATTTATACGGCACCCCTGAAGCAGTTGGGGTGAAGGGCCTTGCTCAGGGGCCCAATGGAGTAAGATTCCTCTGTCAGCCACGGGATTTGAACCAGCAACCTTCCAACCACAGGTGCAGATCCTTAGCCACAGTGCCACAGCTCTTTGGAAAAGTCATTAGCCTAGATGTTCACATTCTTTTTTCAACCTGGACTGTGAATGTTTAAACGATGTGTTCAGTATCGACAAGAAGTACAATTGTTTGTGTTATTAGTTTAAGCAGATTGTGTTTGTGTCTTATTGTGACTTAGTTGAAGATCAGACCACATTTTTATGAGTAATTAATGCAGAAATCCTTGTAATTCCAAAGGGTTCACAAACTTTTTCTTGCCACTGTATGTTGTTTTTTTAGAAACCTCTGTTCAAAATTAGCAGAAGGGGTTAAGAACACAAGAGAGCTGATAAGTGAGAGAGGAGCCCTTTAGGAGTCCGTAGCTTATCCTCACTTATTGATCCCCAGAATCACTTCCTGCCCTTTCTCGAAGCTTCACCAGCATGGCTGGACAGAAAGCTGTCTCCCCTCTTGTACAGCGTGATCAGGAATGTCAGCGCAGGCCGGTGCTGGAGCTGAGGCGACTGGGCTGGAGTGGACCTACAGGGTCCAAATCTAGCGTGTCTCCAAAACTAAAGGAGGAAGAATTAACTTTTTCATGTCTGGTTCTCATTACTGACGTTAGCACACGTCTTGTATGCTACTGACAGCTGTATTGACTAATTACACTTCAGACTACTTCCTTTAGAATGCCGAATAAATATCTTGAAAATTAAAGGCTTTTTTTGTCTCTGTAGGCTGCACAGATCAAAGTCTGCCCCTAAATAATTACAAAGATATCACTCTGACCACTGAAACCTTCAACTCTTGCTCTGTTGACAACTAGATTACAACATTGCAAATCACAGAAGGCTATCATGCAATTTTCATTTGTGGCTCTTAATAGTTCATTTATACTGAAACAGGTTTCTGTGTTGCAATTATCCCAAGTCTGAGAGTGATGCATCCCCTTACATCAACCAGGAATTTGATTAATGCACTAAGTGTATAGAGTATATACTGTATACAGTATAATAGTCTAGCATAATGCCTCTTCTGTAGATTGCTCATACAAGAAAACATCCTTTCTCCTGCTTAAAATGAAAGGTTAAGAAATACAGGACTGGGGACTGGTGAAGGAAGAATTAAATGTGGGGTTCATTTCTTAATCAACACTCTCTCAGCACTGAAGCCCCCTCTATGTCTCACTCTAAACAGAACAGTAAGGGTCCCTGCTAAGCCACAGGGTTAAATCAGCACACCCCTACAGGCCTAGGGAATCTTCAATGGCTGTAGATGAAATGGTTCTAAACTGAGGGTTTGCTTTGTGAATTATTTCTCTATGAGCTGGAGGTAACTTTTTCTCGTTGTTCTTTTCTAGATATTGATGAGTGCTCCTTCGAAAGGACATGTGACCACACGTGTATCAACTACCCCGGCAGCTTTGAGTGCACGTGTCAGAAGGGCTACACACTCTATGGCCTCACACACTGTGGAGGTACTGTAGGGCTCTGGACCGTCCTGGTGGATAATCTGATTCTGCACCGATGAAACTGCTGCTGTCGTCTGCAGAAAAGGGACACTGTTTTTTTAGCCATCTTAAACATCGTTCTGACGGCTGCAAATGATTTGTATTTTTGAATGTTTTTGAAACGTTGTAACACATATTCAAAGTGAAGGCAATGCGTGCCTGTGTTTATTTTGCCTGGGTACTGTTTGAGTCCTACCTGAGCGACAGGATCTACGGCAATGCACAGTGTGCAGGCAGCTGTACAGCCATCCTGACTTCATCGATCTGGTGAGGTTGTGTTCTCCAGGTTGTGTTCTGAAGGACAGGGACATGTGCAGAACCTATGCTTGCTTGCTTTTATGTGTACATGAACTATGCAAAGAATACTACTTCCCATCTCAGTGCTAAAGAACCAGCCCCCAAGGGGCTTTCATTGCAAATCCGAACAGATTACAATGGCTGGGTCTCCTCCCCGTCCTGCACTTCCTTTCAGATTAGTCATTCCTTAAAGACTGTGACAATCTGTTGTTACAAAATCACTTCCCAACACCGGACCTGTAGTATTTGAGCTCATTTAAAGAGGCGAGTAGTGTCCCTGTTTCCGCTGCTGTCGGTGTTGCCTGGGCTGAGCGATGGAGAGCTGGGCAGTCTCAGGGCCTGTTAATAGGCTGGGTGCTGTCAGGACACTGGATACTGGATCTCTGGGTGAAGAGCAATGATAGTGGTCGGTCGCTTCACGAGAACGAGGCACTTACTCAGCACACTCCACTAAGCCTGAATAGCAGGTCCTCTTTGTCTGCTGGGAGTCGATCATCTCACTGTCAGCGGCTTCAGAGATGGTACTGGAAGTTTTGACAGCTGGGGTTGAGGCGTCTGCTTCAATGGAGTCCTGCCATGCCTAACTGAACAACAATGTGCTCCATATTCTTTATTACTACTTAGGTCATTCAGCAACAGACTAAACATGCAGTAGCTGAAGGACGTGTAATCTGTTAAGTGCAGAATCTCACAGTTTGTGCAGTGTGTCCTGGCACTGCAGTATGGTCTGATGGGAGGGTCCTTCTCCACCCTCAGCGCTTTTCACCTGCTTCTCCTCCTGCCTCTTGTTCTTTAAGGACTGGTCCGGAGCTGTTTAGGCAGCAGTGTGGGACTATTATCTACATACAGTATACAGTATTAGTGCATTGGTCAAGTGTCATGGTTGATGTACTGTAAGTGGATGCATCCCTCTTAGAATTGGGGTCCTGGACTAGAGGGTTGTGGGTTTGAATCCGGAGTGCGGCACAGCTGTCATACCACAGAACGAGGCGCTTTGCTCCCATCGATCCAGTTATCTCCCTGGAGTCCACTTCTCTAACTTGTCCTTTTCAAGTAGCCAGTGCTCTATGTCCTGTGCGGTAGGTCGTGTCTGCTATCACGGTTCAGTGTGGCCGCATGTAGTCGGGGGTTAACTGTGGTCCAGTGCTGGCTAATGGCGGG